TTTTTTCTTTCAGACTGGTATGACTGTTAAAATGGTTTCGAGTGGACATAAGCTCCAACGCGCGCCAACGCAAGCTTGCATAAAACTTTAAGAGTGCACTCAGGTTGATTTTGTGGTTAAAACATCATTTCAAGGGTTTAAAATATTATTTCATATTTGAACTGGGTAAATTTGTGGTATATGTTTGTTTAATTAATACACAACCTTGAACTGTGTTTAGTGTGTGTGTTTATTGTTTCTACACTGTGAAACAGTCCCTGGAAAAATTGTCCATAAGTTACAAGTAACAAAGTACATACATATTCTGAGTTATTTGAAGTAATATCATTTCTGGGAAAACTCCAATTGATGTTTTAAAGGTGAGGATCATACTGAACCCTAGACAAAGTTTCTTACATTGGAATGTCTCTTTTGCCAATTTGTTTTTTTGAGTTTAGAGGGGTATGCACTAAGTAGCTATTCCCTTACTATAACGAGCCGGGTGGCAAAAGGGTTACATGCGTGAGAATAAACTTAGATCTGAGTGAGGGAGAGGAGGTAATACTGGAACCTGAACAATATCAGAAGGTAAGAATCCTGATTTGTATTCTGATAGTCACATTTAATGATGACATATCTGAGTAAACCACGCACTGTCCTTGTTGGGTCCTGTGGTCGTCTTACCGAGTGCAACAAGCGGAGTGATGATGGGTACGGCCAGGGGAGCTATGAACAGGTAAACCGTGCGTGGCAGAAAGGGGACCTTCCACACACTGGAGTCACCCAGGCCAATGACATTGGTATGAGCGTGATGCATCTTAATGTGTCCGTGCACGCCGGCTCGCGCTGAGAACGAACCACAGATCTGAGTGGATGAAGGACAGACAGACACACACACACACACATACACAGATGAGCGTGTTTATGACAACCTTCACTGATGCAACACATAAAACAATCAGTGAAAATGATCAAACAGCAAAGTCAGGGTAACACTGACACCTCACCTCGATGAAGAAGATGGCCCAGAACCTCCCCCAAGCCTGAGACTCGCTGAGCGCCCCGTGGCTGGCCAGATGTGTCCCCTTGACGGTGATGACGGCGTGCGCCACACCCATCAGCAGCACACCCGCCGAAAACCACAGGATCTGAGAGGAGGACAGCAGCAGGAAGCCTGCAAGACAAAGCACAGGGAATAACAGAAACGATGTCTTGACCTTGGCAACAGTAACACACAACACTAACAAACTAACACGTTCTGTGGTTTTGTTTAAATTATCTTCACATAACTTTTACTCAGTGATGGAAGATTGTTTACTTAAGTAAAAGTAGCAATACTACGTTGTAAAAATTATAAATAGAAGACCTACTTTCACAGTATTTAAAGTACAAGTAGCATTTTTGTCTTAATTCATTTATTGGTCCCCAAAACACCAGATTCATCAATATTAAAAATAGTTATGGCTTTACATTGTGCTGCTCTATAAATTCTGCATTGTAGAAGCAAAATACAAACTATTCCAAGTAATAAAATAAAAATAAACATATTTAATGTTTGCAGTTATAGCACTGAAAAAAAACTGACTTCATTTAACTCCTTTATTTATCAGAGATGCTTATAGACTTAAAATAAAGATTTTCATATACACATGAATTAATCAGTGTGATGTGAATGTGTCAGACTGAACCAAAATGCCCATCATCCTCTGTGAACTCTGTACAGCTTTGGAGTTACCACATGCTGTAGTAGACACTGGGTTCTGCACTATGAATTTGAAATTGCAAATTCAACACCCTTAGAGTGAAAATGAACACTTTCTCAGTGTTTATATGGGAACCAGTATAAAAGTGTTAAACTAACACTTTTGAACATTATTAACACTGTTACATAAAAAACTTTCACACCACACCTGATGACAGAAACATTAAGTCAGTATTCACTGGTTAGAGACACACATGGAGAAAATGGTCCACACTGCACTGGTTATCACTGGTTTACGCCACATCAGTGTTGAGCATGCTACTGATATAGGCACTGGTCCACTGGGATTAACACTATTAGAGTCCTGGCATCAAGCAAAGCTTTCTAAAGCCTGGGTTCAACACTCCAGGTTTTGTTGTGCACGATACCTTCTTGTTCTGTCTTTATTAACAACATTTTGGAGTGCTAGAAGAGAGGTCACTGAGTGCAGTTTCTTACCAGGTGGCAGACAGAGGAACGCTGTTGCCAGGATGCTGCAGTCAATCCCCCTCCTCTCCCACCAGCTGCTCTCCTTCACCACCCTCTGAACCAGCCTCGTCAGCTCCATCATCAGCGTCTCCTTCTCCGCCTCTTCACCACCTGTCCCCGCGTTCGTCATGCACTCTCCCTTCATCTCTTCGCTGCTGCGCTCTGAATCCTCTTTCTTCTTGAACAACATCCCCCCATCCCATCCTTCACTCCTCCGGTACATTCTGCATGTCAGCTCCTGTGCTGCTGAAAAGAAACTCACCACGGTGTGCGTCCTCTTGCTAGCAGCCAATGCTAAACAGTGTCCAGACCCTGAGCATAAAGTCCACAGGTCAAAGTTAGCATTTCAAAAGT